TAATTAATTGTTGAATATTGAAAGCACGAGAAAATTCAAATAAATCTAGTTTTTTAGAGTTGAAAACTTACTTGTCTTTGAAGATTTGTATGGTATTTGGGCAAAAGCTGTGTTTGCAAACATTAGAAACACCAAAGTTATTAACAAACGAACGACTCTATTCATTTTTTCTTCTTCTTAGACTATAAGTTTAATAACGTAAATCCGCATATATATATAGGGAAAAGGAGCTCAAGTTACAAAGATCAGTTCCTTACTTTTTCTTTACTTCAGTAGTTTAATAATTATTACTATTGTCAGTGACATCTTCTTAAATATAAATTACAACTACAACAAGAAAGAAGTTTTTTTAAATCAATCTTAAAATACTAGCTTGATTTAATGTTTTGACCCTTTTTTTTCTTTTGCTTAATTAATCAAGTCTTCTATGAATTGGTCCAACATTTTTATGTTATATTATACATGTTTTTTTGTTAACATTAAAAGAAAAAAATAAATTTTAGTTTAGAAATGTTAATGCATTTTGACCGGGTCACCCATTTAACCTTATACACAAGGGTGCAGTATTGATTGAATCTATGTCTAATTCTTGAAATGCTTGTTTATGGAGTCGTCTCTAACCACTCCGACATTCTTTTTATATATTCCTCTTGTTCCATTATAGAACAAACTATAAAAGTACAAACCGAACAACTACAAATGTTTTTTTTTCTTTTTTTTCGTTGGAGGAAATAAAGATAAATGGACCAAACAAACCTACTAAAGTCATTCATTATCAGTAACTCAACTAATTATTAATTACAAAATACAGACAAAACTAACAAAGGTTATGAATAATTCAATTGATTACATACAAAGGCACATACAAAGTTTCTAAATAAAATAAATATTGTAACCGAGAAAACACACTCAAAGCTGTGGATTGCTTTGCTGACTCGGTCTAAGAAGAAAACCATGGGTTGCTTGGCAAGTGGCTTTCAAATATTTAACTGTAGATTTTTGGCTGTAAATGCTGTGAGTGTTACTTTAAACATCAATAAAAGTCTGATCGGTAATGGAAACTGTGGAAGCTGTGACTGTTATTTTAATAATTAAAGATAATTTTTTATCAAACATATAAATTATGACATAATTGTGCATAACATAAAAACAACTATTTTAAACCAAAATTCATACTCCAGCAATTTTAATGGTTCTTTAAAAAAATGATTTAATTTGATTTTGAAATTTTTTGATATTTTATGGATTTACATAAAATTGGATCTCAAAAGAGTAGAAAGAAAAAGATAAAAAAATTAATTAAACAAATTTTTTTAGTAATAAATGATATATAATTCTAAAAATAACTTTGAATAATTTTGGAGAATAAAAAAAAGAAGAAGTAATTTAAATGTAATTATTTTTTCATTCTAAAGCAACTATAACGAGGCTTTAAAAAAATGTGTAAAAGAAGGCAAAAGAACAAAAGAAAGGTTTTAGAAATTTTAAACAAAACAAAGACAACAAATCATGTTTGACAAAATAAAGTCTTTAAAATCTTTTATATTTTTTAAAGTCTTAAAAGACATTTGCCAAACACCACTCATATGTGACTTTTTTTTTTAACATCTATGTGACTTTAGCTTTTAA